GAGCTAAGAAATGTAAAGCACTTTGCAAGCCATAAAGTAATATATAAATCCTACCTGTTATTATTAATAATTAATTCCCCTTCTACCGTACAGCTTTTGGAATACTTGAACACTGTTTTCATGTTTCCTTTCAATAGTTTTTTCCCCCACAGGGTAAACACCCAGGTTGAATTTATCCTGTATGGCATGTTCTCTATTTTTCTCATCTTGTTATCCTTTTTTTGCACATGTTTCAGCATATCTATATCTTTCTTGAAATAATGGGGCTAGAATCAGAAACAGTATTCCGTATGTAGTGACAAACATAAAATAAAGCAGGACCTTACCTCCCTAGTTCTGGACCCCATGTCTCTTGATGCTTGAAGCTACTATGCCATACTATTGATTCATATAGAACATAACAGTCCACTAAAAACCTCTGACCTTTTCTGCTGGAGTGTTTTTTTTTTTGCTCCATCTACTCTGTCCTGTATTGTAAAGCTGATTTTTTGATCCAAGGGCAAAACTTTACATTTATTGCCATTAAGTTTCATTCATTTTATTTACTCTGGCCTGTCATTCCATCCCATAGAAATCTTTTTGGGTCTTAATTCTGTTATCTAACATGTTAGTTATTCCTCTTAATTTTGTCGTAGTCAAATTTGACAAGCATTCCTTGTCTCTAGAGAGACCTTCTACTGAGCAGATATTTATCCATTAATGAGGAAGAGGGAGAAGGGAAATAAGTATTTACTACAATGTTGGAGTCACTGTGCTAAGTGCTTTTGTAGATGTGACCTCATTTGATCCTCACTACAACCTAGTGAGATAGGTGCTATTATTATCCCCATTGCTTAATTGGAAGACCCTGAAGCAACCAGATTAAGTGACTTGCCTAGGGCCATACAGCTGGTAAGGCTTGTCTGATGCTGGATTTGAACTTAGGTCTTCTAGACTTCAGGCTTTGATGCTCTATCTCAGTCTCTTTCAGCAGTTCTTTCTTTTCCTCCTCCTCAAAGTAATTTCTGCTTCTGTTTCAAGAACTTTATTCTTGAAAGTTGCCCATTACTCTTGAAATGACTTGTGTAGAATATTAGGCCTTTGGAGCCTTCCTTACTTTTCTCCAAAACCTTTGAATTATTCTCTTTGAGATGTGGGATACACTTTAGATCTGAAGTGTCAAACTTGTGGCCTGGGCCTGCAAAACTCCCCAGTGGCAGCAGGACTAGATGAAAATGTAATTGGAAAATGTTTAACAAAAAAAATAATATTACAATATAACATAGATAATGTTAATTTTTGATTTTCTAATTCAGTGCTCCAGTAGGAATCTGTTTCTATTTGAGTCTGACATCCCTGCTTTAGACTGTGCCTTGCTTTACTTTCTTTACTCTTTATGAGTTGTCTTATGGAGTGGTATGTGTCAAAAGTAGAACTTCAGCCAAGGTCTTCCTGGCTCTAAGGTCAGTTCTTTATCTACTACATCTCATAGCTTCTCCTTCCCATGCTATCATAGCCCTCCCACTTGAGTAGATATTGCGGTGCTGTCTGTTGTTGCTGGGAGCACCTAATGGCATGGGTTATGAAATCCTCCTGCCTTTAAATGATCAAATGTTATAATATTGTAAAGTACTTAGCATAGGGCTGGCATATAGTAGAGGCTTAATAAATGTTTATTTCCTTCTTCTGCTTTTCTTCTTTCCTCCTTCCCTCTCTACCTCCTATGAGTTCCTGGGAAGAGGTTAGGTCAAGTTGGTAGGTGAAATTTAGGAATACATTTGGCTGCATGTCCCAGCACCTTATAGAAGGTAGGGTAGATAGTTAAGGTAGAGTAAGATAAGCCACTGGACTGACCAAGTGGACAATGAGAAGAATTCTACTGGAATGCCTCTTTGTTAGCCGTAAGTTCTTGGTGGACAGGCAGACTTAGTCTCATAACAATAGTAGCTCATGCTTTTATAGTGATTTGAGGTATACAAAGTATTTTACACACATTGTATTATTGGTCCTTAAAACAACTGTCTGAACTGTATGTCATCTGTTTTACAGATGAAGGAACAGAGGCATGGAGAGGTTAAGTGACTTGTATAGGCTCTGAGAACAGAGCTCTTGTCAGGTCTAGGCTTTGGGGAATCTGGATGTTTTAATTTTAGAGAAGTGGCTTTTCGGTTCCTGACTGCACCTTATTTTTGCCACCTGCTTTACTCCCTGGTTTAAAGGCTGTATTGCTTGGGCTACATGGTCCAAATACCTGCTTGCTTGATTTGAGCTGGCTGTTTTCTTGATCCTCCGCCCCTCTCCTCTGGTAACCTGGCATTTTAGTACCCGTCTTCTTTTGGCACACAGCTGGTGTGGATAGACATTATTCTTCTTGTTGATAGACAGTATAATTCTGGAATTATCTCCCACAGAAGGTCAGCTGATGCCCTCTGCTGGTGTGTGAAAAACCAAATTCAGCCCTCAGGCTGTCTCTCTGATAGATGGCATGTAAGTGGGTCATACAGTCTATTATAGATAGATAGATAGATAACCCTACCCTATATACTCAAAGAATAAAATGCTCAACTGTGGTGTTCAGACTTATGAATAAGGCAGTATATAATACAAATTTACATATAGCTTTGTATAGGACCCTCTTTCTCCAAACACCTCTGTGATCTTATTAGTTCGCTTGTATTCACTTATCTCTATACAGATGACTACAGGTCCTTCCTTCCTTCCTTCCTTCCTTCCTCCCTCCCTTCCTCCCTCCCTTCCTTCCTTCCTTCCTCCCTTCCTTCCTCCCTTCCTCCCTTCCTTCCTTCCTTCCTTCCTCTTCCTTCCTTCCTTCCTTCCTTCCTTCCTTCCTTCCTTCCTTCCTTCCTTCCTTCCTTCCTTCCTTCCTTCCTTCCTTCCTTCCTTCCTTCCTTCCTTCCTTCCTTCCTTCCTTTCTGCTGTATCTGAAGGTTACTTTGCATTCTCCATCTCCATGTCTTTGTACAAGCTGTTCCCCATGCCTTTCCTTACCTGTCTCTTGGAATCCCTTTGTTGTTGTTGTTGTTCATTTGTTTCAGTCATGTCCAACTCTTTGTGACCCCATTTAGGCTTTTCTTGACAAAGGTTTTGCCATTTCCTTTTCCAGCTCATTTTCCAATTGAGGAACTGAAGCAAACAGGGTTAAGTGACTTGCCCAGTGTCACTCTACTAGTAAATGTCTGAGGCCAGTTTTGAACTTGGGAAGATGAGTCTTTCTGATTCCAGGCCTGGTGCTCAAAGCTTACCTCAAGGGCCAGTTTCTACAAGAAGACTCTCCTGATCCACCTACCTGCTAGTGCCACCTTCTGCGAAATAACCTTGTACTTTTTTGTATATACCTATTTTGTATACGCTTTTATATGGATATAAGATATGTACATGATATCTCTCCTGGTAGACGAAAAGCTTCTTGAGGGCAAGGACTATTTTGTTTGTGTTTGTATTGCAAGTGCTTAACACAATACCTGTCACATAATAAATGTTTAATAAATGCTTGCCTCAAGTTTTACAAAGCTCTTTCTTCATAAGTTAAGTCCTGCAAGGGAAGTATTTCCAGAAATATTTCTCTCATTTTACACGCGACGAAACTGAAGCTCAGAGAGAAGAAATAGTTTGCCCAGGGTCAACCTAACAAGTAAGTTCCTGAGGTCAAATTAAGCCCTTCTCATTTGGAATCCAGTGCTGTCTTTATATTGCCTGGACCTTGCCATCTTGATCCCTCCTAGATACTTGGCCAGTGCTGCTCTTCCACGGTAAAGGAAGAGGTTAAATGAAAAAATACGGCCACATCGGTGTGAGAGGTGCTTTATATAGTCTCATAACTAGAATAATAAAATTCTGTAGAATTTTAAACAGTGTTTACCTTTAGGTAATCACAGTTGGGTCTCTAGGATAACAAGATTTTGAATTACAAAATTCCCTTCATTTTTATCTATGTACTATTGATTTTAATTTGCACTTTAATTTTCAATCAGCACTCAAAGTTCAAAGTTGCCATAACTTATTTGCTCTTTCCTTTGACTTAGTAATCTTCTGGGTGCTATTTGGGGCCTTATTCAATGTAAGTTCTTTCATGTTATTCTCGCATATCCACACTCTTTGGCTTTCCATTTTCTGATACTGTAATTTAATTTTCCTTAATTTCTTCCTGGGCAGCTAAGTGGTGCAGTGGAGAAGAGCACTGAGCCTGGAGTTAGAAAGACTAGAATTCAAATCTAACCTCAGGCACTTACTAGCTATATGACCTTAGGCAAGTCATTTAACCTCTGCCTTCATAAAACTGGAGAAGAAAATGGCAAACTGCTCCAGTATCTTTGTCAAGAAAACCCTATGGGTGGTTGATCCACAGGGTCATGAAGAGTTGGACATGACTGAGCACAAAAACAACAGATTTCTGCCTGGTTGTACATATGTATTTTTTATGATGTAAAAATGAGATGTCTGCTCTTCTGGTATACATATTGTATTCTATTTATGGATTATTCACTATCCTCCCTGGTTTTAGTTTTATAGGTTACTAGAACTATCTAGATCTGTGTACTTGATTCCTTCATTAACAACTCTGATTTATTTAATTAGTCTCCTTATTTATTTAGTCATCAGAGGTGTTTTTCTCTTAATACTTTATCTACAGTAAGTGAATACTTCTAGTATTACTCATTAATGGATAAAGAAACATCATCTTATTTTGATTTAATCAAGATTTAGTACTTATAAAACAATGAAGGTGGGAGCAATAGATCTGGAGTATCAATAAAAATCTCAGGAATCACTGAGTTTGAGAATGCTGTGGGACCTTGTAGATATTCTAGTATAATGTCTTTATTTTACAGTTGAGAGTACAGGCCCTCAGAGGTTAAATGATTTAGCTAGTTAATGACCAAACTCTAGATAGTTGATTTTATCAATATTCAGGGTGCATCAGCCATAAACTATAGGCAAAATATGGAAAAATTGCATACTGTGTTGTCATTAATTGTGTATAAAGCAACTTGTTTTAATTTTAGGTGCTACTGTGGAAGATTGATTGGAGACCATCATGGGATAGCATATCAAGGGGCTGCCTCTTCAACTATGGGGAGCCAAGAAGAAGAATGGTCTGTGGAAAAACACACAAAGAAAAGTCCTACTGACACCTTTGGCACTATTAACTTCCAGGATGGAGAACATACCTACCATGCCAAGGTTTGCTAATAATACTAAGATTTTAGTCAGCTTTAATCAAGAATAACTTTATTAAGTACACAGATCTAGATAGTTCTAGTAACCTATAAAACTAAAAGGAGAAAAGTAAGAAGGATAGTTATGGGTGCTTTCTTTTTTTTGGAAAAAATTTTTTATTAATTTTTTTATTTTTAGTTTTCAACATTCACTTCCGCAAGATTTTGAGTTGCAAATTTTCTCCCCCTCTCTCTCCTCCCCCCACCTCATGACAGTGTGCATTCTGAATACACTTTCTTCCAATATGCCCTCCCTTCTATCATCCCCCCCCCCCTTCTCTCATCCCCTTCCCCTTGTATTTTCCTGTAGGACAGGATAGATTTCTATATCCCTTTGCCTGTATATCTTATTTCCAAGTTGCATGTTAAAACAATTTTTAACATTTGTTTCAAAAACTTTGAGTTCCAAGTTCTCTCCCTTCCTACCTCCCCACCCTCACTCATTGAGAAGGCAATTGGATATACTTTATACATGGATAGTCATGCAAAACACTTCCGTAATAGTCATGTTGTGAAAGACTAACTGTATTTCCTTCCATCCTATCCTGCCCACCCCCTCCACTGTTTTTTCTATTCTCTTCTTTGACCCTGTCCCTCCTCAAAAGTGTTTGCTTCTGATTACCCCCTTCCCCAATCTGCCTTCCCTTCTATCATCCCCCTCCCTGTTATTCTTTTCCCCTCTGTTTTCATATAGGGTAAGATAGATTTCCATATCTAATTGAGTGTGTACCTTATTCTCTCCTTAAACCAAATCCAATGAGAGTAAGATTCACTCATTCTCTCTCACCTCCACCCTCTTCCACTCCACTGAAAATGCTTTTTCTTGTCTGTTTTATGTGAGATAATTTACCACATTCTAGCTCTCCCTTTCTCCTTCTCTCAGTACAATTCTCTCTCACCCCTTACTTTTTAGATACCATCTCTTCATATTCAACTCACTTTATGCCCTCTGTCTCTCTCTCTCTTTGTGTGTGTGTATGTACACATATGTGTGTTTATATATATGTATATGTATATATATATATATATACACATACACATATACATATATACATATTTATATATTCGCTCCAACTACCCCAATATTGAGAAAAGTCTAATGAGTTACAAATATAATGTTTTCATGTAGGAATGTAAACAGTTCAGCTTTGATAAGTCCCTTATGATTTCTCCTTCCTGTTTACCTTTTCATGCTTCTCTTGAGTTTTGTATTTGAAAGTCAGATTTTTTATTCAGCTGTGGTCTTTTCATCAAGAATGCTTGAAAGTTCTCTGTTTCATTGAATTTCCATTTGTTCCCCTGAAGGATTATACTCAGTTTTGCTGGGTAGGTGATTCTTGGTTGTAATCCTATCTCCTTTGCCCTCTGGAATATCATATTCCATGCCCTGCGGTCCTTTAATGTAGAAGCTGCTAAATCTTGTGTTATCCTGATTGTGTTTCCATAATACTTGAATTGTTTCTTTCTGGCTGTTTGCAATATTTTCTCCTTAGCCTGGGAACTCTGGTGTTTGGCTACATATTCCTAGGAGTTTTCCTTTGGGGATCTCTTTCAGGAGGTGATTGGTGGATTATTTCAATTTCTATTTTACCCTCTGGTTCTAGAATATCAGGGCAGTTTTCCTTGATAATTTCTTGAAAGATGATGTCTAGGCTCTTTTTTTTTTTCATCATGGCTTTCAGGTAGTCCAATAATTTTTAAATTATCTCTCCTGGATCTGTTTTCCAGGTCAGTTGTTTTTCCAGTGAGATATTTCACATTGTCTTCTATTTTTTCATTCTTTTGGTTTTGTTTGATAATTTCTTGATTTCTCATAGAGTCATTAGCTTTCATTTGCTCCATTCTAATTTTTAATGAAGTATTTTCTTTAGTGAGCTTTTGGACCTCCTTTTCCATTTGGCCAATTCTGCTTCTTAAGGCATTCTTCTTCTTATTGGCTTTTTGGACCTCTTTTGCCATTTGGGTTAGTCTATTTTTTAATGTGTTATTTTCTTCAGTATTTTCTTTTTGTCTTTTTTTTTTTTAGCAAGCTGTTGACTTGCTTTTCATGATTTTTTTTGCATCACTCTCACTTCTCTTCCCAATTTTTCCTCTACTTCTTTTACTCGCTTTTCAAAATCCTTTTGAACTCTTCCATGGCCTGAGACCAATTTCATATTATTTTTCTTGGAGGCTTTGGATGTAGGAGCTCTGACTTTGTTGTCTTCTTCTGGTTATATGTTTTGATACTCTTTATCTCCGAAGAAAGATTCTATAATCTGAGGGTTTTTTCCATTGTTTGCTAGTGTTCCCAGCCAATTACTTGACTTTTAAACTCTTTGTTAAGGTAGGGCTCTGCTTCCAGTGTAGAGGGTGCACTGTCTCAAGCTTCAGGGGTTTTGTGCAGCTATTTTCAGAGATACTTCTAGGGACCTGTACATTTTCAGTTCTTCAAAGACGGTATGATCAAAGGAGAGGAGTTTGCTTCTTTCCTGGCCTGTGCTCTGGTCTATGAGTGACCATAAGCACTCTTTTCTGCCTTTCAGCCATGAGAAGGATTCCCTATCCTTTGCTACCAGAAGTTCCAGCCCTAGTACTGCCACTCAGGACCACAATCTAGATGTGAGCACAGGCAAAACAAGAGAATCCCTCCTCAGTGCCAGCAAAGAGATCCCTGCAGTCCCCCTCTGATCAGCCACTTGATCCCCCCACCATCTGGTCTGTGGGCCAAGAGCTCTGGAAGTAACCACTGCTGCTGTGACCACTACCCTGGGGCTGTACTAGGGCTAGGGCTGGACCATGCTTCTCTCTCACCCAGGTCCAACAGACCTTTCCCACTGACCTTCCAAGTTGTCTTTGAAGTTTGTGGGTTAAGAAGTCTGGAAACTGCCACAGCTTTTGGTGATTCAGTCTCCTGAGGCCAGCTTCAAGTTCTCTTGAGTCCCATCTTTGCCTAGGTGGCCCACGTTGAACTGCACTCCTCTCCTATTCTGGTGCAACAGACCTTTCCCATCAACCATCCAGGTTATCTTGGGCTGGAAATTTGTTTCAGCTATTTAACATGTCATATGAAAGAGGGAATAAATTTATTTTGCTTGGTCTCATGAGGCAGAATTAGGAACATTGTTATAAATAGTTAGATTTTGACTTGGTATTAGGGAGAACTTTCTAATAATTAGAATTGTTCTAAAGTTAGATGATCTCTCGTGGGAAATTATGAATTCCTTTTTATTAGTGTATTTCATTTGGTGGTTGGATGACTTGGTTAGGCATATTATAAAGAAGTTAATGCATCAGATAGAAGTATTAGCGAGGTGATATCTGAGATCGCTTTTAATACCAAGAACCCATGACCCTAAAACTGATATGTATTATTTTGGGATTCCCTGTTATGGATTTTTTTTTGTAACATTACCATATTCCATTAAGTATAAACAAATAATAGCTAATAGTGGAGCAAAAAGTGTTAATTGTGGGAAAAGCACTATAATAGGAATCCCATATAATACAATTTTAGATTTTTAAAAATTATAGAATTTTAAATTTCCTAGTATATCAGGTAAAAGCATCATTCCTTGTATCCCTTATTTTAATTCATTTAAATTATTGAGCTATGTAGCAGTACTTTCTAGGGTAGCAAAGAACTGGAAATAGAGTAGGTATTTATCAAATGGGGAATGTCTAAACAAGTTGTTGTACATGAATGAGTTTAATGGAAAATACTGCAGTGTATGAAACATGATGGATACAGAAAAGCTTGGGAAGACTTTTAGGAACTGATGCAACATGAAGTAAGCAGACTTTAAAAAAAACATACACACATACACATATATGTAAACAATAAATACAGTAATGTAAATGTAAACAACAACAACAACAAAACAACCAAAATTAAATCATTTGAAGTGATAATTATCAAGCTTGGATTGAAAGAAGCAATTTGAGAAGATACCTTTATGTGTTTTTTTTTTTGCAGAAACGGGAGACCATTGTTATGAGATACTGCTTAGAATGTGATACTTTTTTGAAGTGTTGTCAAGTTTCGTGGGACTTTTTTCTTTCTTATGTTCTTTATATTTTATTATAAGGAGTGACTCTTTGGGAGGAGAAGAGGGGGAAAATACAGTGGGAAATGGATGACTTAGAAATGAAAGATAGCAAAAAAACTATTTTAAAAATTATGTGGTTATGTATAGTAGTCCTATGAACAACAGCAACAAAGAAACATAATCTAGTCTCTAATCATCCATATTAACTACAATTCTGTTCCCAGGGGCAGCTAGGTGGTGCAGTGGATAGAGCACCAGCCCTGGATTCAGGAGGACCTGAGTTCAAATCCAGCCTCAGACACATAACACTTACTGGCTGTGTGACTGGGCAAGTCACTTAACTCCATTGCCCAACTAAAAAAAAAATTCTGTTCCTTAATGTTATTTATATATTTACTAAAGTGGTTGGTTATATGTAGTGTGCCTCTTATCCTCTCAGGAACCTTGGTGAAGCTGTTTTGGGAATGGCAGGAGAGGAATTGACTTATAGTTCTTAGAAATAGATTAAGGAGTGTGTGTGTGTGTGTGTGTGTGTGTGTGTATGTGTGTGTGTGTAGTAAACATCTCAGTGAAATGAAATGTATCAGTAACCCTCTCTGTACCTCAGTTTTTTCATCTATAAAGTGGGGATAATAATAGCACCTATTTCACAGGATTGTTTGTGAGAATCAAATGCACTAATATATGTAAGAACACTTTGCAAACCTTAAAATGTTGTATAAGTGTTAGCTATTGTTGTCAATAATAATAATGATAGCTGGCATTAGTATTATTTATAGCTTAGCATTAAAACAAATTGTGACTATTTATAATAACAATAGTCAGCCCCGATATGCTATAATATACAATTTATTATTATAATCAATTAAATATAAGTAATACCTAATCACACAATATATGATATACCATTAATGACATTTGTTGTACTATGATTATATAACATAACATTATTAATAAATGATATCAATGTAATTAATATATAAATACAATATAATAATTACTAATTGTGGCTATATTAAAAGCCTCACTGTTTTTCTAACATTATGCTTTATTATTACTATTTATTTTTACTTTACATTATTACTATTTTATTTATCTGTCTATATTTATATTTCAGTATATACGAACATCTTATGACACAAATTTGGAGCAGCTATTACATCTCATGTTGAAAGAATGGAAAATGGAACTACCAAAGCTTGTGATCTCTGTTCATGGGGGCATTCAGAACTTTGTGATTCCCCGCAAACTGGAGCAGGTTTTCAGTCGAGGGCTGATCAAAGCTGCAGAGACAACAAAAGCATGGATAATAACTGAAGGAATCAATACAGGTAGAGCCCACCTACCTTCATCAACCTTCTTCATTTCCCCTTCTCTCTTTGCCTGGTCCATTCTGGGCAGTGGGTTAGGGGGCACGATATCATCACACCTTGTAGAATTCTTAGCATATGTGGTGTTTTGTGAAGGATTAAGTTACAAAATTAAGTGACCTGAAAATCAAACTGGGAAGTAAATTGCATGCGTTGTCTGGAAAATGCTGGTAGTGCAAAAATGAAATAACTGGAAGTTAAATTTTTTTTCTTCTGTCACAGAAGAAAGGGAACCCCACCCTCCTCCCCTAACTACTTTCTCCTGAGTCTCCAATTATGGAAGGATTTTTAAAAAATGTTTTTTTAGTTCATGCTGTCTACATTATAACTGTGTCAGCACATATTTTCAGCAATTCATTGATGCAATCATGTCCACATTTCAGGCAATTCATTCTAGTGAAATGTACTGCAATTTTATTGAATGTATTGCATCTGATTTTTAAAATATTCTTTTAGCATCTTCTTATCAAAATAGATCATTGCCGAGGATTCCTATGCCCCTCTTTACTTTCACTTCTAACCTTGAAAGATAATCAATACTTATTTGCTCTATGATTTTAGATTTCTAGTATCTCTTCCAAGAGTCCCCCTCTCTATTCTTACAGCCAGCATCCCTGTACCAGCCCACATTGCTACCTACCTGGACTGTTGCAATACTCTTCTAATAGATTTTCCAGTGTCAAATCTTCCTTTTCTGCAAAACCATTCCTCTTCTAAACCATCTTTATTGTCTCCCTGTCAATACCCAAGTAAAGTTCAAATTTCTTGTTAGAGGGGCAGCTAGGTGGCGCAGTGGATAGAGCACCGGCCCTGGATTCAGGAGGACCTGAGTTCAGCCTCAGACATATAACACTTACTAGCCCGGTGACTCTGGGCAAGTCACTTAACCCCAATTGCCTAACCGAAAAAACCAAAACAAAACAAATTTCTTGTTAGACATTCAAAGCTCTTCCCAATCTGTTGATATCCTACCTTTCCAGGATACTCTCAAATTATTACTTCCCTCTCTTTACTCTCTGTTCTACCCAAATTGGATTACCTTTCTCTCCCCAAACATGCCCTGGGATTTGCCACCTTTGTGTATTTGCTCATGCTATTTCCTATGGCTAGAGTGTCCTTCCACTCCCCTTCATTGGTTAAACCATTAGCAGTCTTTTAAAACTGAATTCTAATGCCATCTCCCTCATGAAGGATTCCCTTCATGTCTCTTCTGTTAATAATTTCACTCCTTAGACTTCATGTTGTACTTTTTTTCTTCCTCTAATGCACTTATCATGAATTTTTATGCATTATAGTTAATTATGTATGTATCTTATCTTCCAAGTAGATTATCAGCTTCATGAGGGCAGAGGCCATGCCTCATGTAACTTTGTATTTCCCCTAATACCTAGTGTAAATGTTTATGAAACTGAACCAAGTTTATGTGACCTGCTCACTTTTTTCTGACCTGCCTCTAAATTAACATGCCACACGATCCTTGTTCTTCTCTACCTCTTGTAATATTCTTTGTCTGTCTCCTATGCTGATATCCTTTCCTCTTGGTCTATTAAATGGGGATGCTTTAAAATATGCCATTCTTAGTCCATTGCTCTTCTCTACATCTCACTTTTCCTCTGATGATTTCATTCACTCTGATAGTAAATATATATAGTATATATATGCATATATGTGTACAGGTACATACACACATCTTTATCTATATACCTCCTGTATCTTTCATTTCTGTGCAGATGACTGCCAAATCCATGTATATAACCCAGATCTCTTTCTTAAGCTCTGACATTTCCTGTTGCCTGTAGCAAACAATAGCTTCTTAGCCATTTTTTTCTAACTCCAGTCCCTCTCTCTTCTAATCTGCTCTGAACACACAGACAATACCAGTCAATGAACATTTATTAAACACTTGTGCTAATTGCTGGGGATACAAAAGAAAGGCAAAAACTAGTCCTTACTCTTAAGAAACTCACGGTTTAATAGGGAAAATAAAATACAGGCTACTATGTACAAACAAAATCTATTTGAGATAAACTGGAAATAATCTTAGAAAGAAGGCACTAACATTAAAAGAAGATTGGGAAAGACTTCTTGTGAATGATGGGATTTTAGCTGGGACTTAAATGAAGCCAGGGGAGCCAGAAGATGGAGATGAGGTGGGAGAGAATTCCAGGTATGGGGGACAGCCAGTGAAAATGTTGAAATTGGGAGATGGAAAGCCTTGTGCTAGGAGCAGCAAAGCAAGGAGGCCTGTATCTTTGGCTGTCTGAGTACATGGAGGAGAGGTGCTAGGTATTTCGCTCAAAACAAAGGTGACAGAAGGAAAAATTTTCTTTGTCTGTTCTGAGTTTACAAATACTGTGAATGATAGCTTTAATCTCGTCACTGTAATCTTTCAATGGATCTATACTGCTTAGTTTAGAATTCTTTAGCTTATTATTTAAGGCCCTCTAACATTTGGCTTCTATGGGGCTTTCCAGTGTTATCTCCCACTACTCCTCTAGTGAACATTTTACACCAGGAAAATCCATGTACTTTGATTTCTCTGACAGTGACTTGTACACTTCTATCTTTGTGTCTTTGCTTATGATATTGTATTTGTTTGTATTTCCTCCTTCTCTGCCTAGCAGCACTCTCCCTTCTTTCAGATCTGATTCCCATTCTCCTCCTTCATGAAGCTTTTCTTTCTTTTTTTTTTTTTCAGCCAAAGACAAGGTTTATTAGAATATCCATCATACTGGGCAGACTCTTAAGGAGTCTGAACATTATTTAACAAGCTATTGGCTAGATTTTAAGAATCTGAGCAGTGGCTAGATTTTAAGAATATAAGCACCTTAATGGACTTTATATACAGAATGGACTTTATATACAAGATGGACTTTATATACAGAAAGACTGTGGGAGGGATCTATGAATGGCCAAGTATTCTGGGGGTTGGAGGGAGGGAGGGAGATGGATTGTGAGGGACCTGTACCACAGTGGCCAAGGGAGAATGGAGCCTAGATAGGATTAAAGGTGGGAAGTGGCCATAGGGAGGTAAAACAGTGGAGGGCTAGGCTAGATTAAGGGTTACAGAATTGGGAGATTGAGTTTAGCCACAATGAAAGGCCAGTTGATGGGATTATAGTTGATAGGACAGTCAGAGATTTGTCCATATGGGACAGTCCAGGGTTTTTCCTTTTGGGGATCTAGATCTCATCTTCATCACTCTCCTCTCAAACAAATGGGACCCAAATTCTTTATGAAGCTTTTCTTAATTACTACATTTGGAAATAGTCTCCTTCTCTTTTGAATTACTGCTTGTTTATTTGCATGCTATTAACCATATGCTGCCTTGTATCATGTTGTAGTTCATTTTTTCATGCATATGGAGTGTGTACAATATGTAAAGCATTTAGGGACAGTGTGGTTTAGTGAGCAGAGAGCTGGCCTTGAATTGAGAAAGACCTGAGTTCAAGTTCTCCCTTTGACATGCACTGGCACTGTGATATTGTACAAAACATTTAACCTTCCAGTGCTCTAGGAAACTTCTCTATGATTCGAAGTCGCAGGGAAGGTGACCTGCATTGGTGGAGGGAGTTTTTCCGTATTTATGCCAGTGAAGTTACAGTTCTTTATCTTTGTTCCTATCCTTTAGAATGCATAAGGCACTGTACTAGGTTAATATGTCAAATTTAAAGATAAATAATACCTGATTCCTGCCCTCAAGAGACTTATATTCTGATAAGGCAGTTGAAACTTATAAAAAACCTACTTAATAATACAAAGTAGATTATTATTTTATGTGCCACAAAAAAGCTATGAATAAAATGCTGTTGTATTTCAGATTACTGTATTTCCTATTAGATTATCAAATACTAGATGTTTTTGTTTCACAAATGTGTGCCTAGCACAATGCCTTATATGTGGCCAGTTCTCAATAAATGCTTTTTGGATGATTGAACAGATGAGTTGCTAGGAGTCTGATGAAAAGGCAATAGAAATGAAGAAAAGGGAGAGGTTTTATCCTATCATTTATGAGTGATTGAATGGTGCCTTTTCACATCTTTATACAGAACAGAAGATTGTACTTGATTTCTAAGTTCATTTTAAATTGGTATTTTATTTCTACTTAAAAGGTGAAAGAGATAATGGAATTTTGGGAATAAAAGAAATAGATGAAATTGAGCAAGACTTTGTCTGAGGTACATGCTTGAAGTTTTAAGATCTTGGCAATGATGAAGACAGTTCAGTTACTTTAGGGTGACTTTCACAAAAGGTCCCAAATGATGGAGCCAAGATGGAGGAGTAGGAGTTGGAACTCACCTGAACTCTCCCAAATTCCCCACCAAACAACTTTAAAATAATGCCTCAGACCTAATTCTGGAGCGTAGAACCAACAAAAGGTTGGATGAAATAATTTTCCAGCCCAAGACAGCTTAGGAGTTTGACAGGAAAGGTCTGCCTCACTGGGGTGTGGTGGGCCTGGAGCTCGGTGCAAACTGTCCCACTGCACCAACAGCAGGACTTGGAGGTGGTTACAGGAGCAGCAGCAGCAGTAGCTTCAGGAGCTCCCAGCCCACAGATGGGAAAGGGCTCATACAACTGGTCAGAAAGAGATTACTGGGGACCCTCTGCTGGTGCTGGTGCTGGACCCTGTTGTATTGCCAATACACAGTTCCAGGCCACAGTCCTAGAGTGAAGAGGAGCACTAGCTTGTGGCTGAAGGAAAATAGGGGTCCTGGTGACAGTTTGAGGGTGGAAAAGAGTACTTGTGATCCCTTACAAGGGAGTTGGGTTCTTGGTCTCAATTCCAAGGCTGAAGGAAGCACTAGTGATTGTGGTGGCCAGGAGCCTCAGTCACAGTTCCAGGGCCAAGAGGAGTGCTAGACTTGTGGTTATAGGGGAACAAGGGTCCTTCCTGTATAAAGACCAGAACACAGGCCAGGAGAGCAAGGACCACACCCCTCCCTAGATCATGCTACCTTGGAAGCATTAAAAACTTACAGACCCCAAGCAGCAGCTCTGAAAACAGAAGCATGAGAAACCTGAAGACAGTGTTCCCTCTACTCTGGGAGTAGAGTCCAACTTTAACATAAAGTTAAAAGTCAAGAAATAGGCTGGAAAAAAATGAGATAACAACAGCAACAGCAACAAAGAACCTTATCATGAAGAGTTATTATGGTGACAGGGAAGATCAAGAAACAAATTAATTTTTTTACTAATTAATTAATTTATTTTTATTTTCAACACTCATTTCCACAAGATTTTGAGTTCCATTTTTTCTCCCCATCTCTCCCCTCCCCCAATCCCCAGATGGTGTGCATTCTGAATACCCCTTCCCCTATTCTGCCCTCCCTTCTATCACCTCCCCCTCTTCTCTTATCCCTTCCCCTTACTATTTTCCTGTAGGGCATTTCTGTACTCCATTGCCTGTATATCTTATTTTCCAGTTGCCTGTAAAAACAATTTTTGACATTCTTTTTTAAAAGTTTGAGTTCCAAATTCTCTTCCTTCCTCCCTCCTTACCCTCCCTCATTGAGAAGGCAAACAATTGGATATAAGTTATACATATGTAATCATGTAAAACATTTCCATATTAGTCGTGTTGCGAAAGACTACCTGTATTTCCCTCCATTCTATCCTGCCCCTCATTTATTCTATTCTCTCCTTGCGAAACATAATTGACCAAATGGTGAAAGAGGTACAAAAATTTACTGAAGAAAATAGCTCTGTAAAAAGAATTGGCCAAATGGAAGAAGAGGTACAAAAGTTCACTGACAAAAATAATTCCTTCAAAATCAGAATTGGGCATATGGAAGCTAATGACTCCATGAGACATCAAGAAACAATAAAACAAAATAAAAATATTTAAAAATTGAAATATTTCATTGGAAAAAACAACCATCCTGGAAAATAGATTGAGGAGAAATAATTTAAGAATTATTGGACTACTTGAAAGCTGTGATAATAAAAAAGATCTTAGATATTGCATTTCTAGAAATTATCAAGGAAAACTGCCCTGATATGCTAGATCCGGAGGATAAAATAGAAACTGAAAGAATCTACTGATAACCTCCTAAAAGTGATCCTAAAATGAAAACTCCTAGGGAATATTATAGCCAAATTCCAAAGCCCCTCAGGACAAGGAGAAAATACTGTAAGCAAACAGAAAGAGATAATTCAAATATTATGGAGCCATAGTCAGGCTTGCACAAGACTTAGTAGCTTCCACATTTAAAAGATTGGAGGGCTAGGAATATGATATTCTGAAAGGCAAAGGAGGTAGGATTATAACCAAGAGTAACATACCCAGCAAAACAGTATAGTCCATGGGGGGTGGGGAATGGACATTTAATTAGAGGATTTTCAAGCATTCTGATGAAAAAGCCAGAGCTGGATAGAAAATTTGACTTTCAAAATACAAGACTCAAGAGAGACATAAAAAGGTAAACAAGAAAGAGAAATCATAAGTTACTCAGTAAGGTCGCACCATTAACATTCCTGTATTGGAATACGATAGCTGCAATTCCTAAGAACTTTATCATTATTAGGGCAGTTAGAAAGAGTATCCTTAGATACAGGGCATGGGTGTGAGTTGACTATGAGTGATGATTTAAAAAAATAAAATGAAGGGGTGAGAAAGAGAGAGGCACTGGGAGAAGAATGGGGAAAATTATCTCACGTAAAAGAGACAGAGCTCTGAGGTGACGTAGTTATGTTTCTATACAAATTTTATTTGAAACAGGGGATTGAGGGTAGAGGAATGAAGAGAAATCCAATGCATGAAAAGAGGATATAGGAAGGGCACATCTATAATGATTTTCCCTTGAGAAAGGGAAATGGTGTAGCAGATAGGATGCCGGATTTGAAGTCACAAAGACCTGGATTCAAATTTTCCCTCAGACAATTACTAGCTGTGTGACATTGGTTAAGTCGCTTAACCTTTCTGGGCCTCAGGAAAGGAAACTTAGCTGTGTAATGAGGGGATTGGATTTGAGAACCTCTAAGGTACCTTGCAGCACTAAATCTGTGATCTCATGATTCTAGTGGGGATATGACATGAAAGAGTTATGGTAAGCAAAGGACAGAAGTAAAATATTGTGAGTGTGTAGATCAGGTGTCCAGTGAGGAAAGTGATGCCAAGACAGAGTAGGCTCTGAAGGAGGGATGGGAAACTCACTTCATAAAAAGAAGAGAACCTTGAAAGGGATGAGGGGAAGCACTGGGATTAGATGGTGAGCTCCTTGAGAGCAGGGACTGTCTTTTGTCTCTTTTTGTATCCCCAGTACTTAGCACAATGCCAGGCACATGGTAGGTGCTTAATAAATTGATTGATTGGTGGGAGAAATTGCAGGTGTTAAGGGCGCCCTACTTAAAACATCTGCTGGCAAGGGGAACAATGCATATTCTCACTTTCTCCTCCTCTCTTCAAGCCACCATGTTCTGTATAAAAGTCTAAAGGGGGTGGGGAGGTAAAAGGGCACAATAAGAATTAGCAGGACCTAATGTTTGACCTTTGCACTGAATATTTGTAGGAGTCTCCAAGCATGTTGGGGCTGCCCTCAAAGCACATTCCTCTCAATGCCTCAGAAAAATATGGACGGTTGGAATTCCTCCTTGGGGAATCATTGAGAACCAGAGGGATCTTATTGGAAAAGATGTGAGTAAAATAAGCCTTTAAAAAAAGTTAATACTTTCTCTTGTTTTTAATGGTGATAGAATGAAGAAATCTCTTTTTCCTTTCTTAAGAGGGAAGTTTTCTTGCTAGTGAATTGTTATGATTTTGATTGTGAAGAATAATCGTCAGTTTTCTATTGACAAGACAGCAGTAATTGTGTTCTTAACAAAAGCACTCTTCTTATAGACTGTTAGGATATCACACTTCTAAAAATGTGTTATATTGGCAGTCCTATTGAGTTCTTATGTCTGGGTGTCCCTTGAAGTGTTTAATCTTACATAAAGGGAAATATTGACCTGAAAACAAATAATCACTAGAGTGGTTCCAATTTCTTCAGTTCTTTTTTTTATCAAACTCTAGGTAATTCTTTTGGCAGTTGCTGAAGTAGTTTAGGTGAGAGTTGTATGCAGAGTAGGCTAATAATAAATGTTGTTGGTGTTTGAGGGACTTATCAGCAGAAGGTTCAGCCATAACTACTCATAAGGAGTAGCATCATCATCTTCATCATTGTCATCATCTCCTCCTCCTCCTCCTCCTACTACTACCACCACCACTATTGCCAATAACTGAAATTTATAACATTTATAACTGCTTTAAGATTCTCAAAGTCCTTTACATCTGTTAACTCATTTGAATCTCAGTCTAATGACAGAGATACAGCAACCTTGTGGAGTGGATATTGCAGATACGATTGTCTCCATCTTGCAGATAAGGAAACTAAGGCTTGCTAATGATAGGACAGCTAGTAAGCACTGAAGATGGGATTTGAACTGAGACCTTCCAGATTCCACTTGTAGCATTCCATTCACTAAGATAGAGGTGGTACTGAATGAGACATTATAGTTCACTCAGTTAAAGTCAGTCAATCAATGAGCATTTATTAAGCACTTGAAGACAAATATAAACAGAAAGAGAGACAGTTCTTGACTTCAAAGGGAGAAGGTGTCATATTAGAGGAATCTGAACAGGGGAACATGTCATGGTAGAGAAAGTCACTGGAATGAAGACATGTTGGGCCTAGTGACCTCCTTAAACAGAAGTTCTGGGAAGAGTCATCTAGTCATCTAGAAAGGAGAGGCCCAGGGGAAACTGCTTTCAGTATATGAAAGAACTAGAAAGGACTGGAGTGATATGTACTGGTGAAAAGAATTTCCACATCTGAAAAAATCATGAATTCTTATATAGAATTATTGAAGATGATGCTGATGTTTTCTATAGGGTGAATTGCTATTTCATTTGTTTATGTTCATCCTTTTGATTTGGGATATTGATTGGTTGGATACACTGGGATTTAATTAGCAGAGCTATTTTCATTACTAGGCATCACCAGGAGTTGTGATTTCTTGAATGTAGGTAACTGAATCTGTGAGCTCTATGACTTTAGTAGATAAGTTCTGTAGAATAGTCTGAGGCACCTGGAGGTCAGGGGACTTGCCCAGGGTCAAGTCAACAGGCAGCAAGCACTTATTAAGCATTTACTGTGTGTCAGGTATCAAGTGAAGCCCTGGGGACAGAAAGAACTGCTGAGCTTGGATTCTAGAAGATATGAACCTTCCTCTAATACTTAACTTTGTGATTCTGTGAGAATATGAATTCTTGGAGAGTAGAGACTGTCCCATTTTTTTAGGCATAGAGCTTTGCGTACAGTATGTGCTTAGTAATTGCTCATTCATTTATTCATTCAAAAGTAATCCTTGACCTCAAGGTACAGGATTTTATGTCTTCTAGAATCCAAGCCCAGCACTCCATCTACTATGCCATGATGCTCCTATTATTATAATTACTATTGCTATTGTTATTATTTTCATTATTCTAGTAAAATGAGAAGCTTCAGTTAAAAGTACCCAGGTTTCCATATTTTATATACATTTTCCATTTTCTTTTAACTGGTTTGTAGTTTTCCTCATTAAAGGAATTCTGTCCATCTCTAAGGAACTTCTACCAGTTTGGATTGGTATCTTATCTTCAGCTGATGGTCTTAAAGAGTCGTATGTCCTCTTGCTTTGTGTACGCCTGAGACCTTAGTATCAGGTTCATTTGGTGCTGGGATTCACTGGGACTCATTCACTTTACAAGTTTATGATTTTCAAACTCACGACATGAATCTTTGTTCTCATTCTTGATTGCTTTTTACTCCCTTTGATCACTTAGGTAGTCTGCCGGTACCAGACGCTGGGCAATCCCCTTAGCAAGCTGACCACCCTCAACAGCATGCACTCATATTTCATTCTGTCAGATGATGGTACTGTGGGGAAATATGGAAATGAAATGAGGCTGAGGAGGAACCTAGAAAAATACCTGTCATTGCAAAAAATACATTCCGGTAAGTGCTATTTGGCTGTCAGTCAAGAAGTATTTATCGAATCTCTAGTATGAGCAAAGAAGGCACTGTGCTAGGCATAGTGGCACTTATTAAATCATAGATGTAGAGTTGGAAAAAAAAACTTAGAGGCATCAAGTCTAACTCTCATTTTTCGTATGAGGAAACTGAGGCTAAGAGAAATTAAACAACTTGCTCATGTTTATATAGCTACTATATGTCTGAGGTAGACTCCAGATTCAAGTCTTCTTCATTTCCAGGCCGAGCACTCTATCTGCTGTACCACCACCTGTCTGTAGTAAATAGGAAGAAAAAGGAACAAAATAAACATGCATTCAATAACAATGAACAGAATGAGATAGAATGTATTAGTGGGAATAATGAATTCCCCTTGAAGTGGTCACATTATTCAAATTTGCCCTGAATATTTCCATTGGATTGGGGACAGTTGTCATAATTTACATAACTATGCCTTGGGACCTAGCTAAATGCTAAATAATCTTGTAAGTCTTTGAAAGTTTAGAGAGATAGGGATGGTGATAGAATATGGAAGTTCTTGATCTCCCAGTAGTGAAGGAATTGGGGAGCCATTGAAGATTTTTGAGTAGGGGGATAGAATGATGAAAATAGTGTTTTAGGAAGAGCATTCAAGGATGTAGGGGGATTGAAAGGATCTTGAAACTGAGGAGATCAGTTAAGAGGCTATTGTAGTAATCTAGCAATGAAATAATGTCTTAATTAAGGTGGTGGCAGTGGGAGTGAATCTTTTAAATTTAGGGGAGGAGCTTGGTCTTTTTCTTCTATAGCTCATGAAACATGCAGTTAGGTGGCACGATGGATAGAACACTGGATCCAAAGTCAAGAAGACATGAGTTCAACTAGGACTTCACGTATCACATGTGTGGTCCTGGGCAAGTAACTTAACCTCTGACTGCCTCAGTTTCCTCATATGTAAAATGGGGATAATATTATACTTACTTCCAAGAGTTGAGAGGATTAAAAAAAGGCAATATTTGTAAAGTTCTTTGCCAACCTTCATGCCCTATATAAATACTAGTTGTTGTTAATAATTATGTTGTTATGGATATAGAAGAGGTTTTACCAGAGAAATATGAGTTACCAAGAGGTACTCCTTGAAAGAAGACCATATATTCTTCTGGACTATTGGCAGATGCTTGCAATCTCTTTAATTTTAATTTTTGGTTCCTGTTAAAAACAGAATTTAAGGCAGCGTGGTGTAGTGGATATAGAACAGGAAGACCTAGGTTCAAGTGCCGCCTCGGACACACAGTAATTGTTTCACCAGGCAACTCTCTTGCTTTAAGTTGTGAAACAGTTGCTTAGTTATTTAGTTAGTTGAGAGTGTTTCCATACCAGTAGTTAACTTTACCATTGAGATCACAAGACTCCACAAAAAGCAAAACAAACCAGCCCCCACCTCCCATGTCCTTAGAAAAGTAATGAGTAAACCTCATTAATACTATAGGATGAGTGAAGGAGTTGAGAGGTAGGCTTTGATTACAGAAGGGAGACAAAAGTTCCCAGAGTGAACACAGTAGTGGAGATGAAAGGGAAGAGAGGAACCCACCAGAAGAAAAAAAAGTGCAAAACTGTGGTTCTTAAGGTAAATTTAATCTACTTAGACATTTTGACTGAGGCTGCCCTATTGGAATACGTCAGGTTCTCCATAGCTGTTTGTGCCTGTTTCCCCAAATCACCCTGTATTCAGCTAGGTGGCCCAGTGGATAGAGTATCAGGCCTAGAATCAAGAAGACTCATCTTCCTGAGTTCAAATTTGTCCTTAGACACTTACTGGCTGGGTGACCCTGGGCAAGTCACTTAATCCTGTTTGCCTCAGTTTCCTCATCTGTAAAATGAGCTGGAGAAGGAAATGGCAAGCCACTTCAGTCTCTTTGCCAAGAAAACACCAAAAGGGGTCACAGAGTCACCACTAAACAAAAAACAACAACAAAATATGTGTACATGTTGTGACCCACTCCATGCCCCCTACCCAACCTCTTTCAGGGCAGGGACTTTTATTTTCCACTTGAAACTCCCTGGGCTTAATACAGTACCTGACATAGAGTAGGTCCTTAATAAATCACTTACTTGTTGATTGATTGTTTGGCTAGACTCTCTAGTGGGCTTTCAACAATTCTTCCAGGCTTATTGGTATAGTTCTGTAATTCCCTATGAAGTCCCCTTGGATTTGTATGTCCTATATAGCCACAGATAGAGCTGTTTCTTTCAAGGACTTTAAAATTCCCAAGATTTTATTTTGTAGATCAATTCATTTTAGTTTTTGGTTCTGATTGAAAGCAAAATTTAAGACAGTGTGGTGTAGTGGGTGGAGAATAAGACCTAGATTCAAGGTCGTCTTCAGGGTTCTGTTGCTTTCTTTGATGGTGGAGTTGATCGTATTGTACTTTAAAAATTAGTGATTCCATGGGCGTTAAAAAAAAAGCGTGGCATAAGCATTACTCAGAACACAAAGCTGGTCTCCTTATCTAAAGGGCAAGGTACACTGTGCAAACATGCTATCATGTTGTCTTTTTTTGCTTTAAGGTAGACAGAGTGGGAATGCTACACAAACCATTCATTCGTCCATTAATGATGGAATGAAACCTCCTTATTTGTGTTGCTTCCTCCATTGTTTTTCAGTCAAGCAAATATGAATTCTTCATCATGCCTTGGATTTGAGGAAAGAAACTGAATAGACAATTTTGTATTCGGACCTAGTGCAAATAACGAAATTGCTAAAAAAAAAAATTAAACTGCTATAGAGGTCACTAGGTTCAACTGTTTGGAATATAGCCAGTATAGCTTAGTTAGTTTATTTTCCAAAAGGATGTGCTGACAGTTTCAAGTTTAAAGGCATGGATTATAGTTGTTAAGAACAAAACAAAAGAAAAAAACAGTCTTTCCACAATCCGAGTCTCCCCAAGGAGGAATGGTTTCTTTCTTGTGTCTTTACCAGTGTAGCAGTAGACTTTTATTTGATAGTCTCATACTGCATGCGTGCTCACTACAGTGATGCATGGGTTCACTTTACCAGGACACTTCAGAAATCAATCCCTCAGAAAAAAATGCCTATGATGGATGCAAACTGCCACAGTATTGGCAGGATACTTTGAAGAAAGCAAAAATAAATGTATTTCTCTTTAGAGGGATTTAATTTTTTCTGCCACATAAAAATGCAAATAGCAATGATCTCAGGTTTTCATAACATAACACATTTATGAGATGATTTGTCCCTTTTTGGGGAGTATGATGTTAAAAATTATAATTACAAATATAATAGTTCCATATTTTTATGAATATGATAATAGTTATAGTAAAAGTATCTGGTTCTTATTTTGAAATAAAAAGCACTACAGTGATAGAATTTGGAAAATTTAGAAAATGTTCTGTTGGTGATGGAGCAGTATGGAAATAGCTAATGGGATATACAAAGAATTCTACTTTATTGGCCATGGGATCCCTAGGGCAGTGGTCTTAGGGAGTTCCTAGTAGGTCGTGAAGGAGTTGAAGCTTCAGATTATACATGGCAGTGTTTTGGCAGCATCAGTCTAGATCTAATTGTTCAGAATATTTAAATCATTCATTATGTCAGCATATAAAATAAGCCTGAATAATTTGAAAAGCCCAATTCGCTTCAACATCTGAATAATGTTTCGATATTCATTTATTCATTCATTAATTCAACAAGGATTTTTGAAGTGTTTACTCTGTGCTAAGCACTGTTCCAGGTGCTGAGGCTACAAAGATTAAAATGAAACAGTCCCTGATACCAAAACTGGGGAAATCTCATTCATTTTGAAGGAGGAGAATGATAGGGATGAGGGCAATGAAAAGTCTCAACTGTAGGATTTAAAAAAAAAGAAGAAATTAAGTTTGCCATTTTTTATATAAGTGCTGAGCATGTGTAATAAAATTGAACATCAAATTAACATGTACAAATTTTAAAAATAGAATTAAATCACAAAGGGTCTAGATTATATAACAATATATCATAATCATAAAAATCCTTTAACTTAGAACTTCTGGATACAAGTATTGAAGGCATATGAAAAAAATCATTATTTTTTGACTTCTTAGTTCAAAAAAACTACTGATATTGGGAAAAAGGTATTTAAATATTTAAGTACATAATTAATTATGACTTAATAGATTATTCCTGGAGAGTAGCCTGAGGAACAGAGAATTTAAGTGGTTTGCCGATGGTCCCACAACTAGTGAGTATCAGGTTGGGATTTGAACTCAAATTTTTCTGGCTCTTAGCTCAACACTCTATCCACTGTACTGTTCGGCCTCTATAAACTTTTAATTAAGACCTTAAAAAAACAAAGGAAGAAATTTCCTTAAAGCTATCAATCACTAACAATCAGTTGTGCTATGTCTTGCTTACCAAAAATGCAGAAATAATACAATTTCCTTTGCGATTTTATAATATTAAGAAATAATAAATTCTTTATTAGTGCTGCTTTTTTAAAATAGTAAATAGATGTGAGCTGTAATCCTTGAAAACAATGACCAGACCTTTAAATTCTTGGACTCTAAAAGAAATCAGTATAGTATACAAAATACAATTTGAATGTATTTTTTCAATTTCCTTTTTATTTTTGTTTAGCTTTTTAGAAGATGCATTTCACTCTGAGGCCTCTGACATATGTTGTTTTAACTTCAAAGTCATCTTGCTTGATCTTGAAATACCTTGTCTATGCAGCATGATAAATAGGTGGAAAACAGATTGACTGGCTTTTAGGGAATAAATTCTGTCCTTCGGTTGAGAACCTTGGGTAACAGTTTGGTTTTCTGTGTTCTGAAACAGGAATGGGCCAAGGTGTACCAGTGGTGGGTCTGGTGGTGGAAGGAGGCCCTAATGTGATCCTCATGGTGTGGGAGTTTGTCAGAGTAAGCTCCCCAGTTCCCGTGGTGGTTTGTGAGGGCACAGGCAGAGCTGCTGATGTCTTGGCCTTCACTTACAAACACACAGCTGATGACGGGTGAGTTTGATGTCTGCTCATGTGCCAGGGTTGTTAAGCACACTGAGTGAATTGGGCAGGACAGGCATTTATATAAACTAGGATAAAATAAAGCATGGAATGATAGAGCAGGAAGAGATCTTAGAGGTCAGCTAGTCTAAGCCTCTCATTTTACAGATGAAGAAACTTAGGTCCAGAGAAGTGACTTACTTAAGGTCACCCAGGTATAAGTGGCAGAGTATCTCCTAAATAAGGAAGATGGGAGTATTAACATTAATGGGAGTATCGACAGCTTCATTCTGAAGCTCTTTTGTGTTTTAGTTGATGTCAGAATGGCCTTTGCAGGTATAAAAAGGTAGGATTTGGGATGTGGGAGTGCATGGAAATAATGAAGAGAAGAAATTGGCTTTCCCCCTCTTTCGTAAACTCTGGTGTTGAGAATTATAGGCTGTATTTATCCATTGTGGCTAAATGGAGTATGTATCCTCTCCCATTTCATATTCTTCAGGTAAATAGTTAGCTTTGATTTGCCCACCATTAAATTTAGCGAGGTAGTCTGCCAATGCTAGAAGTATAGAAAGTTTGCAGTTATTTTAAAACCAGGCTTCAGGGGGCAGCTAGATGGCACAGTGGCCCTGAGGTCAGGAGGATCTGAGTTCAAATGTGGCCTCAGACCAAACACTTGACACTTACTAGCTGTGTGACCCTGGGCAAGTCACTTAACCCCAACTGCCAAAAAATAAAACAAAAAAACAAACAAAAAAAACACAGGCTCCAGGTGAACAAAGCAAGAACTCCAGATCTGAAATGAAAGGTATCAACTTCTTCTTTTGGCCTCCACTTAACCTTGCTCCTACTTTGTCCAGTGCCCTCCTTGATGATTTTTTAATGACATATTCTCAAGTACCCTGTGCCCTCTTTGAACTTGTATCATATTTACCTCAACCTGTGGATTTATTTTGTCCCTGGCATACTTAGAGTCTCAGAAGTTAGGTACTAACAGTGCCATTCTTAGTTACATTTCTTCTCTTTCTGATTATTCTCAGTACTGTGTCAAATTATGTCCACTTGTCTTTCTCCCAGGGAACTCCGCCCTTTGGTGAAGGAAGAGATCATTCATATGATTCAAAGCACTTTCAGTTTTGGTCCTAAACAGTCCAATCACCTTTTAAAAATTCTGTTGGAGTGTATGGAGCATAGAGAGTTTGTGAGTATGATTAATGGACCTGCTTTTTTTTTTTAAAGCCTGAAACCCTTGGCTTTAATAAATGTTTATCTTTTTTTTTTTAAATTCCCCTCCAACATTCAGTTTTCAGTTTTTTTAATTATAGCTACTTATTCTATACAGTTTGACTTTTGATTTCTTTCCTGTCCCCCTTATACTGCAGGTTTCAAATCCAGCTGATCATCAGTCATTTAAGCAAATGTGAATTCTGCCATTCCATTCAATTTGATCTCAATTAAGCATCCGTTATGTGCATGGCACTGCTAGTGCTGAGGATGCAAAAGGCAAAAAAAAAAAAAAGAAACAGTTCTTACCCTCAAAGTGCTTATTTTCTGTCGTTGGGACAGAACCTGTACTCGCATAATTTATGAAAATAAAAGATGATTTAGGAGGCTAATAAGTGACTTAACTTGCCTACGTCAGCCATACATTTATTCATTTGAAAATTTATTTAAATTTTTACTGGTTATCTTTTGTTTTCATATGTGCTCCCCAAGAGCACATCTTTTGTAGTTAAAAATAAAAAGAGAAGGAAAAAGTTGAGAAAATCCAACTAACATATTAACCAAGACTAAGAATCTATGCAAAGTTCCACATCCTTCGTCCCCCCCCCCATGCAAAGAAGAGAGGGTTGCAGGTATGCATTTTAATACCAAGATCTGTTATGAGAGCCAAGAGGAGAGCAACTTCAAGAGAGCATCCTAAAGTATCTTTATGCTAAAGACAGTACAATATGTTATTGCTTCATCTGTTGTGTGGCAGTGGGTCAGATTTCAGACAGGAGCAGTGATACAGCCTAATAGTAACCACTTATTAAGCACCTACTAGGTGCCAGGCACTGTGCTAAATGTTGGAGATGCAAAGAGAGGCAAAAACCTGTCCTTGTCCTCTAATACTTGGCCTAATGGGGGGGCTGAGTCAGGTAGAACTTGAAATCCCCTAGTCATTCACATCTCATTTTATCTAGCAATTTTTAATACATCTCTCGTGAAACATTTACTTGAGATCCTAAGAAGAAGAAAAATTTATTAGAAAATGTTCTAGGACTGAAATGATGTCTATTACAAGGCTTTCCCCATGCTTATGTAATCTGAATATTTTTCAGCTGGAAAATCTGAAATATTAGATGTATTTAATACATGAATTGGGTAATGAGATCCTGAATATTTGAGAGCTGACTATATTCATGCATATCTGAAGTTCATCACATGCATGGAATTGATATAATTATAATTAGAGAATTCTTAGAGTTAATCTAGGCCAATATTCATTTTACAGATGAGGAAACAGGCTCAAAGGATTTAAGTTACTATTTTAAATTAAATTGTATTTTTTCAGTGAAAATTCACCTTTTTCTTTCTCCCACACCCCCCACTGAGAAAGCAAGAAAAACAAAACTCCTGTTACAAACAGGTGTAGTCTGGCAAAACACATTCTCCCATTGGCCAGGTCCAAAAAAGAATATTTCTCAGTTTGCACACCGAGTCCCTAACTTTTGTGCATATGGATAGCATATTTCATAATCAGTCCTCTGAGACTGAGGTTGGTCATTATGTTAGAGTTTTAAAGTCTGTTTCAAAGTTGATTGTCTTTGCAACATTCTTCTCATTTCACTCTGCATCCATTGGTGCAAGTCTTTCCAACTTTCTCATTTCTTATAGCACAATACTCTTTCATTATATTCCTATACCATAACTTCAGTCATTCCTCATTTGATGGGCATTCCTTCAGTTTCCAATTCCTTGCTATTGGAAAAAAACTGATATAAATATTTTTATATATACATTTGTATATATTTGTATATATATGTATATGTACATATATATGGATTTTTTCCCTCTTTTATCTCTTTCTGGTATATAAACCTGGCAGTAGTACTGCTGTGTCAAAAGGTATGCACAGTTTAATACTTTTGAGGCATAGTTCCAAATTGCTTTCCAGAACGGCTGGACCAGTTCACTGCCCCAGCAGCAGTGTGTTAATGTACCCATTTTCCCACAGTCCCTCTAGCATTTGTCATTTTCTTTTTTTGGTCAGCTTTGCCAGTTTGATGAGTGTGAGGCAGAACACTGCTAAGTGACTTTGTTAGGGGCAATTAGTTTGTGACAGGTAGTTAATTGGAGAACTGGGACTGAAATCAGATCTCCTGACCACCAATTCACGGCTTTTCCCAGTATATGTTTCATCTGGAAAATATGCAATATTGGATATATTCTTTCATAATGAGAAACTTTTAAAAAAGTTTTATTGATTTTGCAAGATTTATTATCTCTACTTTTATACTTTCTTAATTAAACAATAAAAAAAGAAACACTTTTTTTCCCTTTTTTTTTTGCCTTTTGGTAAGGCAATAGGGGTTAAGTGACTTGCCCCAGGTCACACAGCTAGTAAGTGTCTTGTCTGAGATCGGATTTGAACTCAGGTCTTCCTGACTCCAAGGCCAGAGCTCTGTTCACAGGCACCACCTAGCTGCCCCTAAGAAAACCCCTTTTCAACAAATATACATAATCCAGTAAAATAAGTTCCCCTATTGGCCATGTACAAAAATGCATGCCTCATTATGAGAAGTCTTATCTGTTTTATTGGCTCATTTTTATCTTTCCATCAGCTCCAGTAATGATAATAGCTCCCATTCCTATAGCATAAGTTTATAAGGCAACAACCCTGTGAAGCTGTTAGATAGCACAAAGCACTATTTCCATTTTGGAGGTGTTGAAACTGAAGCTCAGAAGCTTAGGTTACTAGCTTCAGTTTATGAAGTAGTGTTGGAGCCAGGATTCAAAGCCTGCTCTCCCTTGACTTTAAAGCCCAGGGCTATTTCTACTATACTATACTGTTGTTTCTAGGAGACATTAATGGTGTTTCAGGAAACAGATGGGTCTGATGCCACGAAGATTTTCTGTCTGTCCACTACTTAGTACCTATCTTAGGTATTTTAAGGGGAGTGAATGTTTGAAATAACTTTACTTTTTTTAGATCATGTGAATAGAATGATCTAACCTGCTGTCCAATTAACAGCACACTCATTTATTTCTGAACTTTGAGGTACCCTCTTAAGAAATCTCTAATTAATAATTTCCCCATGACACACTTGTATCTTTAGTCCTTTCCTGAACTGCCATGGTTTTCTGTTTCCTGCTTAAGGTATTTTCAGGGATAGAAAACTTTTAATCCTAGCTTTGTCTTTGACATTACTGAATTAATGAGTGATGCTTTATTGCTGGTCTGAAAGAGAAATTTGCCTTTTATATTTTTCCCAAATGTATGTTATTCTGTTTTTTTTTCTAAACTTGTTCCAGATCACCATATTTGATGCTGATTCAGAAGAGCACCAAGAACTTGATTTAGCAATCCTGACAGCCCTGCTTAAAGGTAAGGGCTCCGAACAGGTTTTAAACCTATTTTCCAGAGATTTTCCAGGGATGGACAACTTCTTTTCACTTTCTCTTTCCACTTGGGCAAAATAGAGAGTTTTTTGAGGTCAGCACATTTTCTTTCTTCCCAGGTACAAATTTGTCAGCCTCAGAACAATTAAACCTAGCAATGGACTGGAACAGGGTGGATATTGCTAAGAAGCAGATTCTTGTTTATGGACAACACTGGAAGGTATTGTGAAAGTAGCTCATTTGTCTGTCAATTTGGGCCCCTGTTATCTCTGTTGCTGAAGTATCTAGATCCCCTGTCATCTTCCTTGTCTTCTTTCCCACCTGGGTTGTAGGAAGGGGTGCTAAAGAGCTTTGCCTATTCTGACTTTGTGGTCAGGTGGGGGGTAGGGTGTGTAATATGTGTGTGTGTGTGTGTGTGTGTGTGTGTGTGGTGGGTGGGGCCTGGGGTGTGAAGAGATGACCACTGGACTGCACTTAGATCAATGATGTTTGCTCCTGAAGACCATGGTTGGAATGTGTCTCTCTGTAAGGGTCGCTTGCTTTGTCATAGATAGAGACACAGGGAGTCCCAGTAAGGTCTGTTCTAACACTGCTCCAGAAACCAGTTTCATTGCTGGGGTTGGGTATTCTCAGGGGTATCATTTTAGGAAACATTTTCACCTTCCTTGACCCATGTATATGAATGTGAATTTGGAGTGAGTGGACTTGGGTTCAGATTTTGACTCAGATGTTTGCTCCTTGTGGTGACTCTGGCAAGTCATTTAACCACTCTGGGCCTCCATTTCCTCATCTTTAAAATCTAGGTCTTTTCCAAGATGACCTCGAAGGTATCTTCTAGCTTTAAAACTACGATCCTTTTTGTCTGATTACATCAGATGGAAGAGTTCATCATCTTTAGTGTTCATAGTTGTTAAGTATGGGATGATCAATAGTATGGCTGATTCTGAGGATCAGGGTAGCTCAGTGAACAGAGAACTGACCTCAGAGCCAGCAAGATCTTGGTTCAAATTTTACTTTTGGCACTTAGTGGCTGAATGATCCTGGGCAAGTATGCCAGGTGACTCTCTTAAGCTATAAGTTGCAGAGAAAATACCCTTTTGATTGGTAAAAGAAGTTACCAATTAACAGCTTTACACACCTATGAAATTATAGGTCTGGTAAAAAAAATACTATTGACCATAGAATTGTCTAAAAGGAAAGTGGGTATTTAAGTGTGATACTCCTGTACCACTAAGTTGGTCCTCATCCTTTAGGTTTTGTACTGATTTCAATGTTTGGAAACTCTTCTACATTAAAAGTTTCATTCAGTTATGTTTAATTAACACTTATTCTTCACATCTTCAAATCTTTACATTCTCTTGTAGCCATAAAATGAGGTAATATTTATGAAACACCTTAGCACAGTGCCTAGAACTCAGGAGGCACCATTTAAATGCCTGTTCCCTGGTCCTCCTTCCCCTTGTCCCATCCAAAAAGTGTTTTGAAAATGAACAAGAAACTTTAAGAGTTGATATCATATGGTAAGGTGAAGGAAAGTAAATGGACATACTCCACTTCTATTCACACTTCAAACTGGCCTTTCCTGACTTCTTTTCTCCTTTAAGACTATCCTTGACGATTTTGAGTGACTCTGCTTATTTCATGGAAATTATTCTAGAGAAGAAGAAGGCAGCAATTTAGATTTTCTTGGACAGCTTTTAAAAAAAATTAGTATTTTTCCCCAATTACCTTTAAAAACAATTTTCAACATTTGTTTTTAAAATTTTGAGATCCAAATTCTCTCTTTTCTCCTCAACCCCATTGAGAAGGTGAGAAATTTGGTATAGGTTATATATGTGTAGTTGCACAGCTTTTTAAAGAGAGATAACCATTTATATGTATCATCTACTCCAAGCCCTTCTGAATTCTGGGAATGAAAGCAACACTGTTGTTAATTACTCCTTTGATGTTTATGACCGATTAGTTGTAGACAGGGTGCTTGTATGATATAGAAGCATCTGTATATATTGTATATACTTAAATGATACAGTGGAATTCTTTGTATTATTAAGGTTTAAAGTGTATTTGTACTCACAGGACTTCTGTAAAGTGAAAAGAGCTCTGGATTAAGAGTCATGAGACTTTGATTCTTGTTTTGCTTCTACTGCCAATAAGCTCCTAAAATGCAGATCTGACCATTCCTCGGCCACCCTCATATAACCACATATAACCACAATATATAAGCCATACTCAGTAGCTAACTCCCTCATTACCTTCAAGATCAAATAGAAATGTCCTTTGTTTGGCTTTTAAAGCTCTGTACAACCTAGTCCCATTCTACCTTTTCAGTTTGATTATGCAGACCAAGCCCTCCATAGTTCAGACATAGTGTTCTCTTTGCCCATTCCTCTTATATGACACCCATCTCCCATTTTTTTTTGCCTTTGTATTGGCTATCTCCCACATCTGGAACGCTGTCCTTCCACTCTCCCTCCTTTTTTCCATATCTTAAAGTTCCTTATTTTTTTCATGGTTCACTTTAAGGACCATCTTCTGCCTAAGGACTTTTTCAGGTTCCCCCATCTATTAGTGCCTTTCCCTTCCCTTATCTTGAATGTATTTTGTGCCTATGTATGCATATATGTAAGTGTATATATATGCATACATATATTTATATGTCAGGAATTTTTAACCTTTCTTGTATCACAGACCCTTTTGCCAGTCTGGTGAAGCCTATGGATGCCCTTCTCAGAATAATGATTGTTTTGTTGCCTATGTTCATAATTGAAGGAAAAGTTATATTTTAGTTAGAAGTGAGTGAAAATAATATGAAATTTTTTTCCCCATCCAAATTCACAGACTCCTCCTGAAGTCTGCCCAGGTTTAGAACACTTGATATAAGTGTAGTTATCTCTTCCATTAATAATAGTAATAATAGCTAGCATTTCCAAAGTACTTTAAGGTTTGCAAAGCATTTACATATGTTAACTCATTTGAATGTAAGCTCTTTGAGTGTTTCACTTTTGGCTTGGTATCCCTGTGGCCAGTCTGGTGCCTAATACAAAGGAGGTGCTTAATGTTCATTGATATATAACCTGGAGGCAAGTTATTTAGCATATTTGCACTTCAGTTTCTTTCTTTGACTAGGTGTTCTCCAAGGTCCATTCCAACTCCAACAGTCTTAGGATTTAGAGTGTGATTTTTCTATCTTTAAAAGATGATAGAAATTCACAGTGGCTGTATCTTTTGTAAATTTTTATTAGTCGTACCTATTATTGATTGGTTACCAAGTTCCCTAGTTATGCACACAGGATCTTCTGGCACTCCTTACTGTCTCAAAAAAAAAATGTGACATGACATTACTGTTGGTCCTCTTTTTCCTTCCAATGGGGCACCATATTACCACTGGTCCTCCTTACCTCCCTTTCCCCTGAGGGAATGCCTGATGTCAAAGTGGTGCCATTTATGTGTATTTTTTGAATTACTGTGGTGTGCTCTGTCATATGCAGTGCCCTGTGAGCTTCACACTTGTGTTCACATGCTGTCTTTTAGCAGGAACATAGTTTTGTTCCTCCCTCCCACCCCCACTGGCCCGAGTCATTGTTTTCATGGGAAAATATGATCTACTTTATGACTGGTGTTTAGGAACATATTATGTAATGTTGCGACTAGCTCAGTACCTAGGATTCATGGACTACCTTGAAGAATAAAGTCCAGCTTTAATCTTCTATCTTGGAACTCATTGAAGAGGCGGGAGACAAGATGGAAGCAACTCCGTTTATTCAAGGCACAGCACAGCATTTTTGTATCTTTGACTCATGGGAACACACCCCAAAGTAACAGTGGACAAAGTGACAAAGTTTACATATCTTTACCAATAGGCAATACTGAGGATTTTTCTCATACGAATACCAATCAAAGTATCAAGAAGTGCATTTCTTTGCAACATTATCCTGGCTGTGTCCTTCTCCCATGCTGTTCCCGTGAAAAACACGTACTTCTTGTTCCTGGAATGTCCCAATACTTGATACATGAGCTAGCAATACTTGAGACATGTTTGTGCTAGAGCTAGCTGTGCTTGAGCTAGCCACATTGTTTATGGTCGTAATTCTAACTTGAACTGCTGACTTCAGTGCTGAGAAAGCACTGAGGGTGGAGTGAGAGAGTTCTGGAAAACGGAGCACCGAGCCAGGTGATCTTTGCTCATGGACTAACACCCGATCAGTGAGATCATCATGAACAACCTGTGGCCCTCAACATTTTCACAGATCCCTAACAATTCCCCCTTTTTGTTTTTGTCGGAGTTGAAGCATATGCAACTCTGTTCCGAATTCTTTTATCTGATTACCTATGCACCTCAATATGCACCACCCACAACACAGCACAAAAAGTACAAGCAAGCATAAAGGCAATGAAAAAGACAATAATGAAACAATCCAATGTCCAGTACTACTAAAAGGATGTCGAATTTTGTCTATCCAATTGAGTATATGTTGGGCAGCTTTATCCGGCATCAAATCTTCATTTGCTGCCTGTGCTATATCATTAGCAATTTTATATAAATCCTCAATATCCAATGATAAGGTAGAATTCTCAAATAATCCATTCAAATGTATTTTCTGCCAATTCCATTCAGATGTGTTATATTTCACATTTGTAAGACAAAAGAATTCACATCTATGATCACATTTTAAATGTGTCCTATATTCTAAAATGTCTAATTCGTCTCCTATTGCTACGATTGCATCCTTCATTGCTTGCAGAAGATGGTAAAATTCATCATCTATTCTTTTTTGTTCTTGGAAACCTTTTGATACATTTTGAGCTAATTGATTCATAAATTCCCCTTGAACCATTTCATTTCTAACAATAGAAACAGGTTGAGCTAATGATACAGAAGCAGTTATTATTGCTATAAGTGAGACAATTCCTAATACCACATAAGAAATACATCTCTTTTTTCTAATAATTGCTAATTGATTTCTTTGGTCTATTATTCCAAAAATATGATCAGGACATGACTCATACCAATCTTTGAAAATTGAACTTTACTGTAATTGACCCATTCTTTTGAGGTGTAAAATTAAATTCCTTCCCCAATCCTGCAGATGCATTCCCTTGTAAAATAACCTCAGGTATTGTCTCTCCCCATGTAGCCACTCTTGGCCATGGCGGTTTTGTCACAAAAGCCCATCTTGTTGTATTTCCTGTCTCTGCTGCTGCTGTGTTCTGTACCACTGC